TTAGAGATTTTAAATGATGTTATCATTAGGGAAAGTGAAATATGTGTTGCACTCTTTTTCTTTGTTCCTTCACTAGAGTTTTGTTTCATTAGGTTTTCCCGGTAAGGTTTTTAATAAGGCAAGTTACAAGTATTAATATAAATATATACTATTACCAAATGATGGTAGATGAGTTAGCGTCAGCAGTGTTTTAAAACCCCGCCCCACCCCTCGGGTTGACCCGGGTCAACCCTTACCCCTCCCCTCTGAGGGTTGGGGTCACAAGTTAGACCCTATATGCATATCGACCCCTCCGACCCCCAAAACCCGGCCGAGTTTCAGTGATTCCCGGGTCAGAGGGGTCAAAGGGGGTCATTACATGTTTTTTTTTTTAAAAAAAATTTCCATGAAACAACATTATTTTATTAAAAAAATAAATAAAAATGCTTGCAAACCTAAATCTAATTGTTCTCTTCTCTCCTAGTGACCTAAATGTTTTCAATTTTCACCTCACTGCCGAGAATCGTCTAGAAAAGTTAAGAATTTTACACCTTCAAATGAAATGTTTACCGTTGTCGATGGAAAACAAAAACCCATTCTTACTTCCTTTAAATTTTTCTTTGTCAGAGACCTTCTCAAAATAGGCAGAACTGGGTCAGTGTAGTGACCCCATTAGAATATGAGTTTTGTACTTTGGTATCTTGATACTTTAATTAGGTTGTATAATATTGACTTGTGGTTGTAATTGGTGAATTATGTTAAGTATATTTTGAATTTTTGATGATTGGTGATTTGTTTTTTAATATTTTCATATAGGATATATCTATTTATATTTTTTTAATATATAAAATCGGGTCAGCGTAGTGACCCCCTGACCCTCCGGTTGAACCTGTGACCCCATGACCCCTGACCTCAGCCGGGTCGATGGCCGGGCCGGGTTTTTAAACACTGAGCGTCAGGGAGCAGGTAGGGTGATGTGCCTTCAACATATAGGTATTTTAGAGTTAAAAGAACTAGGATTTGACAGTAATTCAGTGATAAAAAGCATGATTTTAGCGAATTATTGACAATCTACTTTCAGACACACTTTCATTCTGATTTTATGTTTTTATAGAAGGAACAACTTGATCACTGTCACCTCACGCTAATAGCGTGAATCTCACGCTAATAGCGTGAATCTCATGCCAATCGCGCCAAGTGGAAGGAAGAAAGTCAAACCACTGCAAGCTCAAGCTAATAGCGTGGTGATCACGTTATTCACGCCAAACAAAGCAATCTTCACTGCTTGTCCACGCAAATCGCGTGGAATTGGCGCGGATGGCGTCGGTTTTCGTAACTTCAATTCCGTGATTGCAGGAAGTGATTGAAAACAGAAGGAAAATCAAATCTTTGATTAGATTCTGACCTGATTGGAATGCTGCTTATAAAAAGAAGTCAGAAACCAAAGTAAAAAGAACTTTTGCACGGAGAAGAATTGGGAGGCAGAAATCGAAGCAAGCTTTTGGATTGAAGATTCAAGCTTTCTTCTTCTCCAAATTTTCTGATTATTGTTTTATTCATGAATTCTTTTTCATACATTAAATTGTCAGACATGAACATGTCTGGCTAGTCTTTTATTATTGTGGTAAGGGTCACAACCCTTAATGTGAACCCCATGTAGTTTGGTTAAATTTTATATTTAATTATTTCAATTGAATTTATTTTATCTTATTATTCATCTTATAATTCTTTTAGAACCGATCACTCTATTAGGATTGCGAGGGTTTAGGGTTTTCGATAAGAATATATAGATTCTAGTTCCTGACAAAGGGTAAAATAACAATTCATGTACGCACTAGGGATAGGCTTCATAAATTGCAAACGTGAAAAATTCACTGATTTAAAAGGCTTAACTTGAAAAGGAATTTCTAAGGGATTAGGATTCTAATAGGGTTAATAAAGTTAAGATCACTAAGGAATTAGGGCTTAACTAATCAATTAACAGATGTTGAATTGTTTGATCAATGGTTAAATTAAATGTAAACATTAATTCATATTGCAAGGTAGGGATCATAAAGGTGTTGGCGTCTTTTACCGCAATATTCTTTTAAATATTTTCTCAATCTTAATCTGTTATTCTCAAAACTTGTTTTAAAAGCATCTTTGAATTATCCACAAGTTCTTGAATTGTTCTCAATTTTACAACTACAATTATTCTCAAATCAATTTTATTAATCCAACAAGAGGAATAGTTATAATAATTTTGGTTCCTCAATCCTCGTGGAGACGATACTCTACTCATTCTTTATTACTTGGAACGATCGGTACACTTGCCGATTTTTAGCAACATAGGCTGAGAGGATATGTTCGGTCCTCTCCAATACCATCTTTGGGAGGAATTTAAAGCCTTAATCCCGGGATCCGTCCCGAATCGGACTAATCGCGAAGCGATGAACCGATTAGAATATCTTCAAAAACAAAGAAAAGAAATATATACTATTTTCCCTTTAATAGAATATTTTCTCATGAGATTTTTTTTCTAGTAAGACGAAATACATCGTTCGACATTTAAGGAAAGTTGTTATAAATAATATATTATTTGTTGATGTCCATGACCCTCAAGTTATATTTCGTTTACCCAAAAAAAGGAGTTAACTATTGGAGAAGCTATTCTAATCATTCATTGAGTTACAAATCTTAAAACACCCCTTGCACATGACATTACAATAGAAAATCATTGTTATATGTGTTTTCTTATCTCTACTCTTCTTCACATATTGTTTTATAATATTTCTCTCTTATCTCTACCAGTGTTTTAAAACTCGGACAGGTCATCGACTCGGTCGAGGTACTGGGTCACTAGTTCAACCAGATTTACTGTTCACATATTAAAAAATAGTAAACATATTACTTATATTAAAAATTCACATAAAAAACTATCAATGAGCTTCAAAAAATAAATTGGTTCTCAATGATAGCAAATATTATATACTTTTAAGCTTCTAGCTCTAGATCATATCCTAATATTGGATTAAAATTGCAATGTAAGATAAATGCACCCTTTGTGCCTTAACATATCACGGATAAATTAAATCATGATAGCAAATAGTATGTATAAAATGTACACTAAGGAGAAAGTTTCCAGATGATGGAAAAATTGTGGATTACTTAGTGCAAGAAAAAGACAATGATGTTCCCGTTTAAGAAAAATACAACAGAGCTTGAGCGCAAGACTCCAGTAGAGGAGGATGAAGATCTTCTGGAACGTAGTGTTAAAAGAGCAGATGATGGAAAATGTGTTGATTCACCAGTAGATGAGGAGATGTTAGATAAAGTGAATCCTGTTCAAACAAATCAGAAATGTTTGCACCCAGGGAATGTGTCCAAACTAGAAGGAGTGACCAAGGAGCAAGGAAGACGGGTCATTTCCTACAAAGATATTGTCCTTCAAATCAATGGTGATGGGGACGGAAAGGAAAGCGACGAAGAGGATTGGATGACTATACAAAAAATAGAGGAGGAAGAAGATGACCCCCAAGATGAAGAGGTTCCTAGGATACAAGCTAACCCTTTATGCCCAGTGTATTACTACTCCAAGAAACAACATCAGGAAGATTGCAAAAAATGGAAAAAAGCACTGATTGTTAAACTCTTGGGGAGAAGAATCAACAATAGATACCTTATGACTAGGCTATTCAATCTGTGGAAACTTTTAGGTGGAGTGGAGGTCATTGATCTGGACAATGGTTACATTTTAGTCAATTTTGCTGAGGAGAAGGACTATCTCCACGTCCTTCAAGATGGCCATTGGATAGTGGTGGACCATTATGTTGTGGTTCAGAGGCGGAGGCCAATGTTTGATCCCTATGATGAAAATGTTAAAAGACTGGCTGTATGGGTGAGAATACCAGGCCTTCCCTTAGAGCTCTATACCTCCCAACACCTCTGAAGAATAAGGAACCTTCTTGGCAGAACTCTTAAGGTGGATAAGAATTCTCTCCGCAAATCGGATGGAGGCATAGGAGAATATACTGAGAAGGCCAAATATGCCAGGATATGCATAGAGGTGGACCTAAGGAAAAGCTTTGTCTCCCAATTCCAGGTGATGGACAGAACCTTTTGTGTTGCAATGCAGGATTACACTTAATCTGTTTTGGATGTGGAAGATATGGCCATAGAAAGGAGGTATGTAGTTGAGGAAGCATGATAGAAAATTCTCAGGGACCAAACAAAGCTTTTAAGCAACCAATGGTTTCGAACCTTACAATGAATTAATCTCAGATGGCCAAGACACCTGATGCATTCGGAGCTTGGGTGGTAGTGCACAAACCAAGAAGAGGAAGCAATACAAAGGCCAGTATGCAAACACAACCGGGAGGAATGTCCACTGTTTTGACGACCAGACAGATAACCGGCAATAGACAGAGGCTCAAAGAAAGAAGCGGGAACGACACTGAGGTTGACATATCCAGATTTGCTCCCTTGGCAGAGCAGGAGGTTTTGGCGGTTGAGTGCAATCTCAGCCACAGTTCTCAAGTCAAATCTCTGACTAGTGATGTAACAGCCCTAATTTTGGGAAAAGAGGAAGAGGGCAACCAAATTTCTCTAGCAACACCTACTACCTCTACACAAAACACGCGGAAAGGTAAAATAAGTACAAGTGTGAGCAATAGTTTGAAAATCAATTTTAAGAAGTCTTCACAGGGGAAAACATGCCCAATTAAAGGCTCCAGGAGCAACTTAGTGAAAAGTAATGGGCCGAGTGGCTCAAAGTCGAACCCATTGACCAAACCACATGATATGATGATAATAGCTAAACCGTTGGGCCAGGAAAAAAAGGAAGATGAGAACAAACAAAAAGAACTAATGAAGGAGAAGGAACACGAGGTTTTAATGATCATGAGACATATGTCTAGGGAAGAAGATGAGATGGCTTTGAACAACATCTTAGCCTGCAATTGCCCGAGCACCAGTAGGCACCCAAATCTCCCCAGTTCGCGTTTAGAGGGAAAAAAACAAAGAACCTAACACGAAGAGGAACCATGGTGCCCATAGATCCAGAAGCAATAGCCCTTCGAGATCTGAAGATGCGTCTCGCCAAGCACAACCCTGCTCTGGTCGAAAAGAATTTGGGATTGGTGGAGGCCAGTTCTCCACTCCAGCCAACTACTGTCTCCAATGAAAGTGTCATTTGGAATTGCCGGGGAGCGGCTAAGAAGCACTTTAGAGGTATCATGGGAACCTTTAATCATAAGCATGAATGTGACATAGTTGTCTTGTTGGAGCCTAGAGTTAGTGGGAACAAAGCTGAAAAAATTAGGAAGAGTTTGGGATTTACAAATTCCATTATAGAAGATTCAGTGGGCTTCGCTGGTGGGATTTGGGTTTTATGGAACCAATCCAATTTTGATGTGGACCTCCTGGAGAAGGGGGACTAACTTGTTCTGGTTCGAATCTCCTTTCCAAACAAAATTCCCTTTCTATTCTCGGCAATTTATGCTAGCCCGAGAATTGAGAGAAGGAAGGAGTTATGGGAGACGCTTAGGAGACACCAAACTATGTATCAAGAGCCATGGATGCTCGCTGGAGATTTCAATGAAATTATCTCAGCGGAGGAAAAGTGTGGAGGTGCTCCGGTTGATCTGAACCGTTGTGTTTCTTTTGGCTCAGTGCTTGAAGACTGTCAGCTTTTGGACTTGGGTTTTTCTGGTCCGTAGTTTACTTGGAAGGGTCCAAAGTTCTCTTACTTGGAGCATGTCTACAAAAGGCTAGATAGGGCTGTGACAAACGCTCAATGGCGTATGAGTCTCGATGAGGCTGTTGTTCATGCGATCCCCTGCTTGTACTCAGATCATTGTCCGCTAATTCTTAACTTGGTGAAAGAGTCTACAGTATGGGAAAATCATCCTTTTCGGCTGTTTCCTCCTTGGCTTGAACATCCCACCTTCAAACAAGTTCTTGCTCAGAATTGGAAAGAGGAAAAAAAGACTGATCTTAACCTTGCCGAGCTTAGTCCCAAACTCCGAGAGTGGAATAGCAACACCTTCGGGATAATCCACAAGAAGAAGGCAACCATTATTCGTAGACTAGCAGGTATTCAAAGAAGCATGGAGAAAGGGAACAACTTGTTTCTTCAAAAGTTGGAGGCAGATCTCAGAGGCGAATTGGACAAAACACTTATACTTGAAGAACAACTTTGGTTCCAAAAAGCCAAGACAGTTTGGATAAGAGACGGAGACCGCAACACCAAATTCTACCACACGATGGCTATTGCTCGTAGACCCAGAAACAAAATCCTGGCTCTGAAGAATAATTTTGGGATTTGGATTAGGAAAGAAGCAGAGCTCAGAAAACTGGTATGTTCCTTATATCTAAACCTTTTCAGTGATGATACCCCAAACAGGTGCTGGATTGATACCTCCAATCTGTGGCCCTAGCTGGAGGCCCCTGAACTTCAGCTTCTGTGTAATCCTTTATCTATGGCTGAGATTAAGAATGCTTTCTTTCAAATGGGTCCCCATAAAGCCCCAGGCCCGGATGGCTACCCTGCTGCCTTCTTTCAGAAAAACTGGGATTTGCTTGCAGAGAGAGTATGCAAAGATATCAAAAACTATTTTCTGAATCCAAAGGAGATACATAAAATTAATAATACTCTTCTAGTGCTCATCCCCAAGTGGAGAATCCTGAAAGAGTGGACCAGGTTAGGCCCATTGCGCTGTGCAATGTCCTTTACAAAGCAATTACAAAGATTGTGGTTAACCGGCTAAAACCCATTATGAACAAGCTGATCTCGCCGTTCCAGACCAGTTTTTTCCCTGGGAGGATCATCCATGATAACGTAATAATAGCCCAAGAAATGACATACTCCATGAACATGCTAACTTGTAAGAAAGCGTTCATGTCTATAAAGATTGATCTGGCCAAAGCTTATGACAGATTAAACTGGTCGTTTGTCAACAAGGTTCTCTTGGAGGCTGGTATTCCCATGAACCTGGTTAATACAATCCAGGCTTGTATTTCTTCTACCAGATTTCAAGTCCTCTGGAATGGTAGTGCCTCAGACCGCTTTTCCCCTTCTAGAGGAATCCACAAGGGGATCCAATCTCCCCTTATTTATTTGTGCTCCGTATGGATAAACTATCCCACTTGATAGCTGAAGCAGTCAGTAATAAGCGCTGGAAGCTAATGAGAGTGGGAAGACATGGGCCCCTAATCTCGCACCTTATGTTTGCGGATGACTTAGTCCTGTTTGGAGTGGCTAACTTGGATCAATTGGAGGTTATGATGGACTGTCTAAAGAAGTTCTGTGATATGTCTGGGCAAGCTGTCAGCATAGAAAAAACGTCTATTTATTTTTCAAGGAACGCCTGCCCTAGTACCAAGGAATCTATTACCAAGGCCAGTGGATTTAAAGCTGCTAATTCATTGGGGAAGTATCTGGGATCCATGTTGTATCATGGAAGAGAGAGAAGAAGAAACTATTCCAATGTCATCAACCGTGTTAAAGCCCGTCTATCTAACTGGAAGAGCCATCTCCTATCCTTTGCTGGCCGTGTGACATTGGCAAACTCTGTGTTAGGATCTATACCAGTGTATCATATGCAACACGGAAGCCTTCCTATCTCTGTTTGTAATGAAATTGAGAAAATTCAGCGCTCCTTTATATGGGGAGATACAAGGGAAAAGAAGAAAGTCCATCTCATTGCTTGGGATAATTTATGCAAGCCCAAGAGTGCTAGGGGCCTAGGCATCCATAAACTAAAGATCCATAATGAAGCGTTCCTTCATAAAATTGTGTGGAAGATCATAAATGACAAGGAAGCTCTCTGGGTCCAAGTCTTAACCAGGAAATATGGGAGGACAGCTGACACAAGAAGACAACTTATCACTAAGCGGTATGATTCTAATTTATAGAAAGGTGTGGGAAAAATTTGGAATGATTTCCTTGAAAGTCTGCAGTGGAATATTGGGAATGGCAACAGTGTCCTTTTTTGGCAGGATAGATAGACTGAGTTAGAATATCCGCTACGTGATTATATGCTTCCTTCTGCTGGCATTGAGAACTTAGACACAAAGGCTACTGATATGGTGGAACTCAGAACCGATAGATGGAATGTTGACGAAATCCAAAGGCTTGTTAGCATTGAGGCAGTTCAGGCTATTCGGGTTACTCCCTCATCGTCGATTGATAGAGGAGAGGATTACTTGACCTGGAGTTCCATTGCTACTAAAAAGAATACGGTTAAAGTAGCCTACCAAAGAAAGATGAATTTTGTCAGCTTAGCTACGAACCCCCTTTGGAACATAATTTAAAATTGGAGAGGGACTCAGAGAATTCGTGCTTTTATGTGGATGGTCTTTCATGGTCGTATCCTCTCCCACGAGCATACCTCCAAATGGGGCGGCTCCCCTTTATGCCATGCCTGTAATAACAAAGTCGAAGATATCAGCCATGTTCTCTGTGACTGCTAGAAAGCTATCCACCTATGGAACTGTTGGTTTGCTGGAAAAATACCTCAGGATTTTTTTACTCTCCCCCTAAAAGATTTGCTGCGGAAAAACCTTCTTAGGGGATGGTACCACAATCAAATCCTGGACTGGAAGGACATCTTTGCCGCTTCAATTTGGTTCTTATGGAGATGGATAAATGGTGAGGTCCATGACCCCCAATTCAGAAGGCCTGACAACCCGTCGATTATCATATCATCCTATATCAGAGACATCATGGAAGGCCTGGGCAATCAGCCTTTGCATCAGCCTCCCACCCCCCTACTGTCCCGAGAGCAACCTGGAGCCCTCCTTGGCCTGGTTGGTGGAAGCTTAATTCAGATGCTTCAATCAAGGAAAATCAACCTTTAGCATGCTGTGGAGGGCTGATTAGAGATGACAAGGGGAGCTGGATCACTGGGTTCATTTATAAAATTGGCAGGTGTTCTCCCTTCATAGCAGAATTGTGGGCAATCTATATAGGGCTGTGTGTGGATTGGGAGAAGAAAGCTACTCACTTGATAGTGGAAAGTGACTGTTTATTGGCCATCCAGGCCATCTCCAGCAATTTAGATGAGGGGCCTCTTCCTCATATTGTTCATAGAATCAGATCTTTAAGTAAAAACTATTGGCAGGTCGTGTTTCAACATATCGGGAGAAATGGGAATGCCTGTGCTGATAGCCTAGCCAAGTTGGCCTTCTCTTCTAGGGAGGATTTTGTTTTGCTTTTTGCTGCACCAGATGCTTGGGGTCCTCTTCTGGACTCAGATTTCCCTTTCTTGTAATCGTTTTCTTCTGGGCTTTGCCCTTTTTTAGTACTAAAAAAAAAAGAAAGAGAAAGTATCCACTGTTAAGATGAGACCGTCAGTGTTTATCCTCACTTAACTTCTTAAGATCATTATAAGATGCAACTAAATTACATAAATAAAATGCACTAATCCAAAATACCTTCTTATTTGCACCTTACTTATTAATCATATTTACCACAAACTATAAAAATGATTTAGTTCAAGAGTTTTCATGAACCAAAAAAAAAAAAATTTACCACAAAAAAAGGGTCAATTGAGTCGCTGGGTCTCGGCTGGATCAACCAATCTAAACTGGGTTGACTATAGAATTGGTCAAAATGTCCACTCGGACCGGAGAACCCACCGAGTCACTTCGATCTGAGCCGATTTTTAAAACATTGATCTCTACTTTTCTTCTAATTACCTTTTGTTTCATAACAATACTTTTTATATTAATTTTATTATTTTTATTTCCCCCCTAATTTAGTCAATTATAACGGACAAAACGATTTCCGAATTAATAAGATAATAATTCTCTTTTGATGTTTCCATGAACGGACAAAATGACTTCCAAATTAATAAGATAATTTGTTACCTATTTTAATGTCCATTCTCTATCTTATTAGTGATGTTCTCATTGCTTCTGACGTCATGCCTATGCGGACAAAAAATTGAGTTGAAAACAAAACAGCGACATCTGGGTCAAAAGACTCAAAATACTCAAAACATCTAACATTATTTTTTTGTAATAAAAAATCTAACAGTGAGAATGTATTTATATTTTAATTACGGAAGACGTAACTAAATATTAATCATAAAGTGCTAGAAATTTTATGGGTTATGTTGCAGAAAGTTTTTTTTATCTCCTACTCTCATCATCAAAAATTATGTTTTCATTTTTTTTTCTCTATTTTTTAATATTGGTGAGGCCCTCCAATTTTTGTTTCAACTGTTGATGAAAAGTATCTCCTATTATAGGAGAGTAATAGAGCCCAAATTTTATATAGCAAGATTCACCAAATTTAATATATCTAGCAAGCTTTTGGCTTTCTACGTACGTACAACTGTACAAGTATGGTATATGATTTTGGCATCTGATTACTGTGACAAAAATTATATAACTATAGTGATATAATTTTTTTTTTAATTTCAATTTAAGATTTAGGATTATAGAATAATCTTTTGAAAAAATTCAGTAACAATAAATTTTCTATAGAGACAACAGATGCCACTTCACAAAAATTAAAAACATCAGATTAATTTTTAAGATGCTTTCCGTTGGTTTTCATATGGACTTTCTTTAAGAAAAAAAATGTCACAAAACATTGAGAAAAAGTTTGATGCTTAAAATTTATTAGTTGCAAATTTCAAAATTATAATTCAAGTTCTTCATACTTACCCACATCTGTGATTTAATGTCATAATAATTTATGTATATATAATGAGCAATAATATCTGGTATAAAATAATTCTTAGAAAAATTATTACGAATAGATAGTGTCTAATCAAGTATTAGATGGTTATACATAAATGGTTAAAGTTTCAAATGTAACTTCTAAATAGGCAAAAAAATTCACATTATAACAATGAATATACCAACTCATTAGTAACTATATATTTTTTTTTTTTTTGATAATAAGAAAAGTATTTTGTACAACTCAACATTATTCTTGTTAAAAATATATTGTAATTAGTATTTTCCTTATTTCATTAGAGTTTTGTATTAAGTCTGATTGTATTAGGTTTGGGCTTAGCCCATTAGTATATCTATATATTGTACATTCCTATTCATATCAATACACACAGTTTATTTCAATGTTTCTCTTTTTTCTTGTAATTTAACATGGTATCAAGAGCCTAAGGAACTTTGAAATTTTTTTTTCCGGTGAACCCACTGTTAATCGTCTTTTAAATTTTTTCCAGACCTGTCTCACTGTCAGTTTCCGATACGTTTTTCCTCCGCTTCCGCTTTTCAGGCTTCTGTCTACGTCAACCACCACCATCCGGTGGAGTTGTTCGGCGAACCGCATACCGGCGTGCTCGTCTTGGAAGCACGATCACAACGCCATCGGCCGCTCCTCCATCGGACTTCTCACACGCCCTCACGCGCGCGTGCAAGTTCCGGTACTTTCCTCCACAAGGCAGCGCATGGCGGCGCGTGGAGCCTCTTTTCCGGCCGCGGTTGGTTGCGTTCTCTTCGTCTCCCTGTGATGGTTCTGGATCTGGTCTTCTTTTTGCGTTTGGACTTCGTTTTGTGTTGACTCACAGATCCCTCTTCTACCGGTTAATTGTGTGATCTGTATTTTTGATTTTTTTTTCTACTCTTGATTATGGACTCTCCTGTCTCCAATGTTTCTGGGTCTCCGATTGGACAAAAGTCGGAGTCTACTATTTTTTCAAATTATATCCTTGCTCCGTTAAGTGTGGATAAATTGGATTGATCCAACTATGATACTTGGTCATCCGATCTGCGCCTTTGGTTGGAATGACAGAATTATACATCACATCTCACCACTAAGGCTGAATCTGTGGCCGTCACTGAGTGCACACGGTGGAAGATGATTGATGCTCAGTTGTGTAGTCTCATTAAAGCTACTCTTCATCCGTCGATCAAGCAGATTTTTCGACCTGCTAATACCTGTGAAGCTATTTGGAGTCAGGCAAAAACACTGTACACCATTGATACACAAAGACTCTATGGTGTGTGTCAGAAATTGATGACTACCCTTGCTGCTCGGGACTTCAATTGTCCTATTACTGAATTTTTGGAGAAAGCTCAAAGTTTTCTTCATGACCTTAACGAACTTCTGCCTCTCACTGGTGATGTTACTAAGGAATAGGAACAGCGTAATACACTATTTATGTTGTTCATTTTATATGGTTTGCCTGACCATTTGTCTGCCAACCGGGATCAAATTTTGGGATCTGCTACAGTTCCTACACTGAATTTCGTGATGTCTACCTTGCTTAGGATTCCCTCTAAGCCTTCTACGTCCCCAGCACCTCCTATGATGCATATATCTCCAGTGAATTCTGTTGACTCTTCCGCTCTTGCTGCTCAAGGGTATGGTCGTGGACGTAAATTCTCTAAAGGAAAGCTATTATGCACTCATTGTCATCAGACCAATCATACTATTAACCGCTGTTGGAAGCTTCATGGAAGGCCACCTAGCTTCATGGAGGTACCTCATGGAAGGCCACCTCCACCTCCTCGAAATGCTCATGTTGCTCAGGCTTTCTCTAGTACCTCTGCTCCAGGGTTACCTTCCAGTGCACAACCTCCACCTGCTCTTCTTAACAAATTTGTGACTTTGTGGTCTGAGAAGCAAACATCAGGTCCTACTGCATCCATTTCTCCCACTGGTAATTCTTTTACTGGAATCTCTCAGCTGCACTCTATAGGCCCTTGGACTCTTGATTCTAGGGCTTCTGATCACATTTCTGGTAATAAGTCCTTATTCACTTCCTTTTGTACTACTGGTTCTTTTTCCACTATTGCTATGGCCAATGGGTCTCTGGTCCAATCATGGGGGATTGACACGGTTCTTCTTTTACTTAATATATCTCTGGATCATGTTCTCTATGTTCCAGATTCTCCTTTTAACTTACTTTCTGTTAGTCGTTTGACAAAATCCATTG